TCACAATCAGAAACTATACAAATGAAGGTTCATATATATATATATATATATATATATATATATATATATATATATATATATATATATATATATATATATATATATATATATATATATATATATATAGTATATTTTGGTAGCAGTCTTTCCTGTAGACATATATTATTAAATATGACCGAAAAAGTAAGATTAATAATTCTAACACGAATTTTCTCAATCTTTCGTACATTACGCTTCACTGTTGGAGGTAAATCAAAAATCACTTCTCCAAAATTCATTTTTATTTCTAGTCTGACGCGACACGGGCGCGTTTCGTAAAACTTATTACATTTTCAAAGACTTCACAAATACACAACTGATTAGAACGTATCTCTGATTTTATATCTACATTTGAGTGAGGTGGGAAGGGTGATGTGGCATTAACACAAGACAGAACAGGAGGGGATATTAATAGGGTATTAAAAGTATCAACACAAGACAGAACAGAAACAATGAGTATTGAATAGAAGTGTTTGTAGAAAGCCTATTGGTCCATATTTCTTGATGCTTCTATATTGGAGCGGAGTCTTGAGGTGGGTAGAATATAGTTGTGCAATAATTGGCTGTTGATTGCTGGTGTTGACTTCTTGATGTGTAGTGCCTCGCAAACGTCAAGCCGCCTGCTATCGCTGTATCTATCGATGATTTCTGTGTTGTTTACTAGGATTTCTCTGGCGATGGTTTGGTTATGGGAAGAGATTATATGTTCCTTAATGGAGCCCTGTTGCATATGCATCGTTAAACGCCTAGAAAGAGATGTTGTTGTCTTGCCTATATACTGGGTTTTTTGGAGCTTACAGTCCCCAAGTGGGCATTTGAAGGCATAGACGACATTAGTCTCTTTTAAAGCGTTCTGTTTTGTGTCTGGAGAGTTTCTCATGAGTAGGCTGGCCGTTTTTCTGGTTTTATAGTAAATCGTCAGTTGTATCCTCTGATTTTGTCTGTAGGGATAACGTTTCTATTAACAATATCTTTCAGGACCCTTTCCTCCGTTTTATGAGCTGTGGAAAAGAAGTTCCTGTAAAATAGTCTAATAGGGGGTATAGGTGTTGTGTTAGTTGTCTCTTCAGAGGTTGCATGGCTTTTCACTTTCCTTCTTATGATGTCTTCGATGAAACCATTGGAGAAGCCGTTATTGACTAGGACCTGCCTTACCCTACAGAGTTCTTCTCTACAGAGAAGAACTCTGTAGGGTAAGGCAGGTCCTAGTCAATAACGGCTTCTCCAATGGTTTCATCGAAGACATCATAAGAAGGAAAGTGAAAAGTCATGCAACCTCTGAAGAGACAACTAACACAACACCTATACCCCCTATTAGACTATTTTACAGGAACTTCTTTTCCACAGCTCATAAAACGGAGGAAAGGGTCCTGAAAGATATTGTTAATAGAAACGTTATCCCTACAGACAAAAATCAGAGGATACAACTGACGATTTACTATAAAACCAGAAAAACGGCCAGCCTACTCATGAGAAACTCTCCAGACACAAAACAGAACGCTTTAAAAGAGACTAATGTCGTCTATGCCTTCAAATGCCCACTTGGGGACTGTAAGCTCCAAAAAACCCAGTATATAGGCAAGACAACAACATCTCTTTCTAGGCGTTTAACGATGCATAAGCAACAGGGCTCCATTAAGGAACATATAATCTCTTCCCATAACCAAACCATCGCCAGAGAAATCCTAGTAAACAACACAGAAATCATCGATAGATACAGCGATAGCAGGCGGCTTGACGTTTGCGAGGCACTACACATCAAGAAGTCAACACCAGCAATCAACAGCCAATTATTGCACAACTATATTCTACCCACCTCAAGACTCCGCTCCAATATAGAAGCATCAAGAAATATGGACCAATAGGCTTTCTACAAACACTTCTATTCAATACCCATTGTTTCTGTTCTGTCTTGTGTTGATACTTTTAATACCCTATTAATATCCCCTCCTGTTCTGTCTTGTGTTAATGCCACATCACCCTTCCCACCTCACTCAAATGTAGATATAAAATCAGAGATACGTTCTAATCAGTTGTGTATTTGTGAAGTCTTTGAAAATGTAATAAGTTTTACGAAACGCGCCCGTGTCGCGTCAGACTAGAAATAAAAATGAATTTTGGAGAAGTGATTTTTGATTTACCTCCAACAGTGAAGCGTAATGTACGAAAGATTGAGAAAATTCGTGTTAGAATTATTAATCTTACTTTTTCGGTCATATTTAATAATATATATATATATATATATATATATATATATATATATATATATATATATATATATATATATATATATATATATATATATATATATATATATATATATATATATATATATATATATATTTCCCTCGCCAAACCTCCCTTACCAGAATTATTTTGCATTCTATCCCGAGTTTCGCCAGCGATTTAGCCTGGGTTCGTATCCTGGGCGGGAAGGATTCACTAGGCACCAATCCTGTGCCTATGATTATGCACAAGATATAACATATAACACATCTTGTTATACGTAATATTTTATATCCATATAACATATGCTATATTATATATATGTTATATCCTCTGTTTAGCCAGCAGTGAATGAGTATTTTGGTTGTTAAACGATTTTGCGCGTCGTATTCCTGAGATAATAAGATTAAGGACTTGCCCGAAAGCTATGCGTGTTAGTGGCGTGACAAGAATGTAAAAAATTCTTCTATATAACTCTTAACTATTCTTCTATATAACTATATAACTCTTCTATATAAATAAATTATAAAATTATTTAGCAGAGAGGTAAGGTGATCTGGGGAAATGAGCAAGCCAGTCCGATTGTATAGCACTTGGAAGCGACATGAGGATAATGACTTGGAATAGACAGGACGAAAGGATTGTTACCCAACCATTTGGACGGTCGGGGATCGAACGCCGACCTGCAAGAAGCAAGGCCGTCGCTACCTTTGGTGATTTTGACAGCTGATAGGTATTGATCCATATCTTCAATGTACGTGGCGAAGATGTCTACTTAGAAGCTGTAAGTGGATGGATATGTCTCTATACAAGATGTAAGTGGATGGAGATGTCTCCTTAGAAGATGTAAGTGGATGAAGATGTCTCCTTAGAAGATGTAAGTGGATGGAGATGTCTCCTTAGAAGATGTAAGTGGATGGAGATGTCTCCTTAGAAGATGTAAGTGGATGGAGATGTCTCCTTAGAAGATGTAAGTGAATGAAGATGTCTCCTTAGAAGATGTAAGTGGATGAAGATGTGTGTCTAAGTGAAGGGTTTAACATTGTCAGGTGATTCTTCACTTTAACGTCTGCTGGCGGGTGATGTTAAGGTGAAGAAATAACGTTTTTGAGTCCAAAGTTAAGGACAAAGTTATGTGTGTTGTGTCATAGTGAGACCAGAGGTACAGTGACAACCTGTAGTGCCACTGTAACCTGGGAATACGTACACCGCAGCTTGTAGTGCCTTTGTAAGCTTGGTATGACAGTACCTGTGTAAGTTTACCTGCTTGATGGGGTTCTGGGAGTTCTTCTACTCCCCAAGCCCGGCCCGAGGCCAGGCTCGACTTGTCAGAGTTTGGTCCACCAGGCTGTTGCTTGGAGCGGCCCGCAGGCCCACATACCCACCACAGCCCGGCTGGTCCGGAACTTCTTTTAGAAAACAGTCTAGTTTTCTCTTGAAGATGTCCACGGTTGTTCCGGCAATATTTCTTATGCTCGCTGGTAGGACGTTGAATAACCGCGGACCTCTGATGTTCATACAGTGTTCTCTGATTGTGCCTATGGCATGGTATGAATTCAATTGGTATGAATTGGTATGAATTAAAAAATTCCTTTAGTACCACTCTGACTTAGACCCATGTACACAGTAGCCTGTAATGCCACTCTGAGCTAGGTTTGTACTCACCTACTTGTACTCACCTAGTCGTTCTTGCGGGGGTTGAGCTCTGACCCTTATTTTGTCCCGTCTCTCTATTGTCAATCAACTGGTGTACAGATCCTGAGCCTACTGGGCTCTATCATATCTACATTTGAAACTGTGTATGGAGTCAGCCTCCACCACATCACTCCTTAATGCATTCCACCTGTTTACTACTCTGACACTGAAAAAGTTCTTTCTAATGTCCCTGTGGCTCATTTGGGTACTCAGTTTCCACCTGTTGCCCTTGTTCGCGTACCTCCCGTGATAGACAGTTTATCTCTATCTACCCTGTCAATTCCTCTGATAAATTTGTAGGTAGTGATCATGTCTCCCCTTACTCATCTGTCTTCCAGTATCGTGAGGTGCATTTCATGCAGCCTTTCCTCGTAACTCATGCCTCTTAATTCTGGGACTAGTCTAGTGGCATACCTCTTAACGTTTTGTACACAACAGCGTACAGTGCCTCTGTGAGGTAAGCTTGTACACAACAGACTACAGTGTCACTCTGCCATCGTATACCCCAAACAGAGGTAACATCATCTGTGTTGAAAAGGAAACTGGTATCATGAGATTCAGTAAACCAACGTGCATTAACCTCAGCTGGAGTAAACCATCTTATGCAAAGTTAAGTAAACTCTTCACATAAATGAATCCAACCAAAGTAAACTTCGGCAACAGTATAATTAACCTGAGTTAACAAGAGAGCAAACTATCTTGTGTAACCCTCAGGTGAGGTAAACCAGCATGTGAAAACGTCAGGTAAACCAACCTAATTAAGCTAAAGTACACCACCCTCTGAATACTTCAATTGTGGCTAACCAACCTTTGCACACTTCAGCTGGTGTAAACTTTACGTTGAGAATACCATCTACATGTAGACTAACTTTGCAAATACCAACTGGAGTAAACAAGCTTTTATAAAAAAGGTAGAGTAAACTAGCCTGTGTAAACTAAACTTCACCTAGAGAAAAAGCAAACTGCGTTTGCTTCTACTAGTTAAAAGCAACTTAGAGAAACTTCAGCTAAAGTTACCCAACCTGTGGTGTAAACTTCAGCTAGAGTTACCCAACCTGTGTAAACTTCAGCTAGAGTTACCCAACCTGTGTAAACTTCAGCTAGAGTTACCCAACCTGTGTAAACTTCAGCTAGAGTTACCCAACCTGTGTAAACTTCAGCTAGAGTTACCCAACCTGTGTAAACTTCAGCTAGAGTTACCCAACCTGTGTAAACTTCAGCTAGAGTTACCCAACCTGTGAAAACTTCAGCTAGAGTCCCAACCGGTGTAAACTTCAGCTAGAGTTACCCAACCTGTGTAAACTTCAGCTAGAGTTACCCAACCTGTGTAAACTTCAGCTAGAGTTACCCAACCTGTGTAAACTTCAGCTAGAGTTACCCAACCTGTGTAAACTTCAGCTAGAGTTACCCAACCTGTGAAAACTTCAGCTAGAGTTACCCAACCTGAGTAAACTTCAGCTAGAGTTACCCAACTGTGTAAACTTCAGCTAGAGTTACCCAACCTGTGTAAACTTCAGCTAGAGTTACCCAACCTGTGTAAACTTCAGCTAGAGTTACCCAACCTGTGTAAACTTCAGCTAGAGTTACCCAACCTGTGTAAACTTCAGCTAGAGTTACCCAACCTGAGTAAACTTCAGCTAGAGTTACCCAACCTGTGTAAACTTCAGTTTGAGAAAACGATTCCTTGTACACGTTAGTTAGAGTAAACCAAACTCCATTAATTGATCGTAGAGTAAATCATTCAGTGTAAACTTAATATTCAATAATGTAAACCTATACCTATAATCTGCTAGATTATACCAACTTAGTTAAATTTCCTCTAGATTATACCAACCTATGTAAACTTCTGCTGGATTATACAAATCTATGTAAACTTCTGCTGGATTATACAAATCTATGTAAGCTTCTAGATTATACAGAACTATGTAAATTTCTGCTAGAGTATAAAGACCTATGTAAACCTCTGCTAGACTATACCAACCAACGTAAACTTTTGGTAGATTATATCAACTCATGTAAACTTTAGTGTAAACTAATTTGCATAAACTTCAGCTAGAGTAAACCAGCCTGTGAAAACTTCAGTAATGGTAAACCAAGTGGTTAAAACTTCCACTACTGTATACCAACCTGTAAACATTACACTGAGAATATCACCTCGTGTAAACTTCAGCGACAGTTAGTCTACCTGCGTAAACTTCAGCTAGAGGAAACTCTCCGCTATGGAGGTAAACCAGAGAAGTGATTATCAAAGAGGGAGGCAATAATCTCCCTGGAGATTTAAAAGCTAAGGGGAGGGATTTCAGCGAGGGTGAAGGATTTCAGCAAGGGGGAGGGATTTCAGCAAGGGGGGAGGGACTTCAGCAAGGGGGAGGGACTTCAGCAAAGGGGAGGGACTTTAGCAAGGGGGGAGGGACTTCAGCAAGAGGGAGGGACTTCAGCAAGGGGGGAGGGACTTCAGCAAGGGGGGGGAGGGACTTCAGCAAGGGTGGGGGGGGGATTTCAGCAAGGGGGGAGGGACTTCAGCAAGGGGGGAGGGACTTCAGCAAGGGGAGGGACTTCAGCAAGGGGGAGGGACTTCAGCAAAGGGGAGGGACTTCAGCAAGGGGGAAGGACTTCAGCAAGAGGAGAGGGACTTCAGCAAGGGGGGAGGGACTTTAGCAAGGGGGGAGGGACTTCAGCAAGGAGGAGGGTGACTTTAGCAAGGGGAGGGACTTCAGCAAGGGGGAGGGACTTCAGCAAGGGGGGAGGGACTTCAGCAAGGGGGGGGGAGGGACTTCAGCAAGGGTGGGGGGGGGGGATTTCAGCAAGGGGGGAGGGACTTCAGCAAGGGGGGAGGGACTTCAGCAAGGGGAGGGACTTCAGCAAGGGGGAGGGACTTCAGCAAAGGGGAGGGACTTCAGCAAGGGGGAGGGACTTCAGCAAGGGGAAGGGACTTCAGCAAGGGTGGGGGGGGACTTCAGCAAGGGGGGAGGGACTTCAGCAAGGGGAGGGACTTCAGCAAGGGGGAAGGACTTCAGCAAGAGGAGAGGGACTTCAGCAAGGGGGGAGGGACTTCAGCAAGGGGGGAGGGACTTCAGCAAGGGGGAGGGACTTCAGCAAGGGGAGAGACTTCAGCAAGGGGGGAGGGACTTCAGCAAGGGGGAGGGACTTCAGCAAGGGGGAGAGACTTCAGCAAGGGGGAGGGACTTCAGCAAGGGGGAGGGACTTCAGCAAGGGGGAGGGACTTAAAGTAAACCACCCAATTTAAACTTCAGTTGAAGTAAACCAACCTATTTAAACTTCAGTTGAAGTAAACCAGTCTGTGTAAAATTAAACTAGAGTGAACAAATTTGAGATAGTTATTTATTAGTGTAAATCTCAGCTCCAGTATACCAACCTGAATCAATTTTAGCTACAGTAAACCAAACTTTAAACATCACCTAGAGTAAACTAACCTGAGAAAATTATCTAACATATGTAAACTTAATCTAGAATAAACCAAAATAAACCAGCTACAGTAAGCCAAAAATTAACAATTTTACCTACAGTAAACCAATCTGTGTAAACTCTCGCTGATGTAAACCAACTAATGTACATTTTAAGATGATTAAATCATTATGTTTAAACTTTAGCAGGAGTTTACTCTATGTAAACTTCATCTAGAGTAAATCTACCTCTGAAAATTTATGCATGAATTTAATTTATTTAAACTTTATCTAGAGTATACCAACAAGTGCAGAATTTAGTCAGAGTTAAGAAATGCATGTAGACTTTTTCAAGAGTAAACTAATCTACATATACTTTAGCTAGACTAAATCAACATTTGTAAACTTTAACGGAAGCAGTTAGATTAAACTAAGCAGTGTAAACTTCAGCTGGAGTAAACCAATCTATGTACACATCAACTCTAGTAAACCACTCACTGTAAACTTAAGATGAAATAGGCCAGACTAAACAAACATTGTCTATGCTAAACCAGCGTTTGTAAACTTCAGCTAGCGTAAACTAACTTGTGCTAGAGTAAACCGATAGGTGTAAACTTCCGTTTATTTAATTAATTACACCAGTTATGTAATCTTCATCTATAGTAATCCAGTCAGTTTAAACTACGATTAGAGTAAACCAACATTTGAAAACTTTAGCTTTAGTAAATCTACTTGTGTAAACTTCTAAAGTAAACCATTCAGCTAGAGTAAATTAACCTGAATAAATTTCACCTTGAGTCAAACAAGCTGAGTAAACTTCAGCTTGATTTAAACTATTTTTGTAAACTTTATGTAGAGTAAACCAGGCTTTTTTTAAGCTTCAGTAAAGAAACTTGGAAACATCAGCCAGTGATTCAGGCTATTTAATCCACCAACCACAGTGGTTCAGGCTGTGTAATCCATCACCCACAGTGGCTCAGGCTGTGTAATCCATCACCCACAGTGGCTCAGGCTGTTTAATCCATCAATCACAGTTGCTCAGGCTGTGTAATCCATCAACCACTGTGGCTCAGGTTGTGTAATCCATCAACCACAGTGGTTCAGGCTGTGTGATCCATCAACCACAGTGGCTCAGGCTGTTTAATCCATCAATCACAGTGGCTCAGGCTGTGTAATCCATCAACCACAGTGGCTCAGGTTGTGTAATCCATCAACCACAGTGGTTCGGGCTGTGTAATCCATCACCCACAGTGGCTCAGGCTGTTTAATCCATCAATCACAGTTGCTCAGGCTGTGTAATCCATCAACCAGTGCTCAGGTTGTGTAATCCATCAACCACAGTGGTTCAGGCTGTGTGATCCATCAACCACAGTGGCTCAGGCTGTTTAATCCATCAATCACAGTGGCTCAGGCTGTGTAATCCATCAACCACAGTGGCTCAGGTTGTGTAATCCATCAACCACAGTGGCTCAGGCTGTGTAATCCATCAACCACAGGGGCTCACGCTGTGTAATCCATCAACCACAGTGGCTCAGGCTGTGTAATACGTCAACCACAGTGGTTCAGGCTGTGTAATCCATCAACCACAGTGGCTCAGGCTGTGTAATCCATCAACCACAGTGGCTCAGGCTGTGTAATCCATCAACCACAGTGGCTCAGGCTGTGTAATACGTCAACCACAGTGGCTCAGGCAGTATATGTGGGAACCGACCTGTGAGATTTATATTTATTTAATTTATATGAATATATATAGAATTTATATTTACGTTAATTTATATATTTCGATAGCAATTGGTATGATGTTAAGTGGACTGTATTTCTGCAATATTTCTCACAAATCGATCCTTACACATTAGGGGATGGAGGTTATATTAAATTTATATATATGCAGCCAATCAAACTACAGTATTAAACTACATATATTAGTATATAAATTGAGGAGGCTCCTTATCTTATTGTACAGCAGGCTTAGTCCACCAGGTATAACTAGGATGTAGACACCAAATTATCCTCGTGAGAGGCTAGCTTCCATCACCCATAGTAACTGATGTACCAAGATTAATTCTTGCTTCCTCTTCTTGTTCCTGCCAAAGGGCACTAGCTGTAAAGCCGGAATCCTAATATATGACAGCTATATTAGAGAAAACACTGTATATTATATAAGATAAGGACCAAGGCTTAATTACCTGTATTTAGAGGCTCGTTCGCGTCCTAACCGGAATTAATCATATCTACCTACATTACTGGCCAATAATGACTTAGATAAGATTTCGGAAAGACACTTCTCTTGTGGTTGTTGACAGCGTGTTGATGATGGCAGAACACTAAGTTGATCTCCATAACACTTTGTCCAAGAGAAATTATAGGAGCTGAATTTGCTCCCCAGCGCCTCTGGTCTTAACAATGGCTGATCTTCACCACCACTCTGACGCTCCTGGCTCACTTTGTCCAGATGTCAATAAGTGATTGAAGGGTCACATTTACTCTATTTTGATACTGATAATTAGGTTAATTCAAATGAGATGTTTTTATGATATTAAAAGTCTAAAGACTACTGTTTTTAAGAATAATTCCCAACAGAATAGCTGGTGAATTTATAGTACTATGTGGCAATGATATCCCATTTTCTATTGACGGAAAATTCCACTACAAGCTACATTTTCTATGGTTAACTTGTGTATACAACAGCAGCAACAATCTGCATATTGCATGTAATATTATTAAATGGTGTCGGATTTTCCGAAAGTATAATCCATCAACCACAGTGGATCAGGCTGTGTAATCCATCAACCACAGTGGCTCAGGCTGAGTAATCCATCAACCACAGTGGCTCAGGCTGTGTAATATGTCAACCACAGTGGCTCAGGCTGTGTAATATGTCAACCACAGTGGCACAGGCAGTATAATCCATCAACCTCAGTGGCTCAGGCTGTGTAATCCATCATCCACAGTGGCTCAAGCTGTTTAATCCATCAACCACAGTGGCTAAGGATGTGATGTGGACGATCTCTGTCAGGAACCCGTAGGTGCGGGACCGGGACGTCCACGTCCTGGGGCTCGTGCGGCCCCCCAGGCTCTGCTTCAGGAGGCTGGGGTCGTTCTTGCCCTTGCTGGGGTGGTTCTTCTTCGGCCCAGACCACGGCGGTCTCCGGGTTTGGAGTCCCTGTGTCTTCTTTCACCAACTTCGAGGTCATCTCTGGAACACACAGTTCCTGCGACGGCGCTGGAACCAATCGTATTGGCTTTTGCCTTTCCATTGGAGACTTTCGGCGCCGTGGAGAGGGGGGACCTGTTTCATGGGTAACAGCTTCTCCTCCAAATCAACCTACCTTGGGTTTGCGCCCTGGTGAGACCGCTCCAGATCAACAACCAGAGCGCAACATCATAGTCTCCCGAGACTGATGGATGCCTACTACTATGTAACACTAGGGGCACACGCATTAGGGGACACAGGTGGAAACTGAGTGTCCACATGAGTCACAGAGACATTAGATTTTTTTTAATATCAGAGTAGTTGACAAATGGAATGCATTAGGAAGAGATGTGGTGGAGGCAGACTCCATACACAGTTTCACGTATAGATATTATAAAGCCCAATAGGCTCAAGAACCTGTACACCATTTGCTGATGATGCAAAAATTATGGGAAGAATCACGACAGATGAAGAGAGACAGAGAATAAAGAACATCGGTACAAACTGGAGGAATGGTCTAGAAAATGGCTACTAAAGTTCAACTTAGGAAAGTGAAAAGTAATGAAATTATGTGAATAGAGCAGAAGGCTGAACACAAGGTACCATCTGGGAGGTGAAATCCTGCAAGAGTCAAATAGAGAGAAAGATCTGGGGGTTGATATCACACCGAACCTGTCCCCAGAGGCCCACATCAAAAGAATATCATCAGCGGCATATACTAGGTTGACCAACATAAGAAATGCCTTTAGAAACTTGTGTAAGGAATCGTTCAGGAACCTGTATACCACTTATGTCAGACCAATTCTGGAATATGCTGCCCCAGCCTGGAGTCCATACCTAGTTAACACAAGACAAAGTTAGAGAAGATTCAGCGGTATGCCACCAGACTCGTCCCGGAACTGAGAGGTATGGGCTATGAGGAAAGGCTAAAGGAGCTGAACCTCACGTCCCTGGAAAAATGAAGAGTAAGGGGAGACATTATAACCACCTACAAAATTCTCAGGGAAATTGACAGGGTGGACAAAGACAAACTCTTCAGCACGGGTGGAACACAAACAAGGGGACACAGGTGGAAACGTAGTACCCAAATGAGCCACAGAGACATTAGAAATATTTTTTTCAGTGTCAGAGTAGTTAACAAATGGAAGTTAACAAATGTGCTTCCACCACATCTGAAATTGTGGTGGAGACCGACTCCATACACAGTTTCAAAAGTAAATATGATAGAGCCCAGTAGGCTCAGGAACCTGTACACCAGTTGATTGACGGTTGAGAGGCGGGACCAAAGAGCCAGTGCTCAACCCCCGCAAGCACAAATAGGTGAGTACTCACAGTATACTACACACTACACTCACAGTATACTACACATTATATTCACATCAAACTACACTATACACTCACAGTATACTACTTACAGTATACTACACCCAATTCTATACAGTTATTAGCATCATCTAAGTTAAAGACTATAGGTAATCTTGCTGCTCAGATTTCTAGAGAAGTATTCCAGGAAGGTTGAAAGTGAGGAGAGTTAAGCTGGAGCAGCTGTACCCTATCCTCCCTCAAGCTTCCCAGTGCGAACAATCGGGGCAAAAAACAATCAAAACAATTGTGGCAGAATATTGCTGGAAATGCTACAAAATGCTGAATATTAACAGCTTTCCTCCCACTAAAATTAAATACTGAATTTTTGTTGTGGAGATTACAAATATTTACTAAATCCAAATGTTAATGAAACGGAAACTGAAAGACCTTAACATTTATCCCAGACGAATGATAGTTTCCCCACTCGACATCGCTGGAGGAGGAGGGGGGGTTGGGGCTATATAAGGGAGGAGAACCAGTTGTGGTGAAGGAGTCCGCTCTCAGCAGCGCCATGGTAAGGACCTGTGACCCTCTCCGCAAAGCCCCTCTGGATGTATAACAAGATATTTATAGACCATTAAGTGCTTAGAAAGATTTATTTCCCGATAGAAAATTTATTTTTCTGTAAAAAAAAAAAGACTCTTTCCTCTCTTAAGTGATTTGTAGCTTTCGTAAATGTGTTGTAATTAGCAAAAATATTGTGAAAAGGGAATCTAATGGAAATTATCAACTAAACAGTTAATTAATATGCATTTTTATTCAATTTTTAGACAATTGCTTATTTATTTGTTAATTGATTTCGTTGTCTAGTTTTTAATCACCGGGCTTTGATTTATTCATTATATAATTGTTTAATAATAAATTAAAAAAAATCCAAATTGTATAGTTATTCCTTTATTTCTTGCCTTGTATTTATGGAGAATTGTATTTGTTTCTTTATTTTATATTTAGTTATTATATTTTTAACTAATTTAACATTTTGTTTATTTGAACAGCATCTTCATGCCTCATACTCGTCCTTCATGCCTCATACTGGTCCTTCATGCCTCATACTCGTCCTTCATGCCTCATACTGGTCCTTCATGCCTCATACTCGTCCTTCATGCCTCATATTCGTCCTTCATGCCTCATATTAGTCCTTCATGCCTCATATTTATCCTTCATGCCTCATACTGGTCCTTCATGCCTCATATTCGTCCTTCATGCCTCATACTGGTCCTTCATGCCTCATACTCGTCCTTCATGCCTCATAGTCGTCCTTCATGCCTCATATTAGTCCTTCATGCCTCATATTTATCCTTCATGCCTCATACTGGTCCTTCATGCCTCATATTCGTCCTTCATGCCTCATATTAGTCCTTCATGCCTCATACTCGTCCTTCATGCCTCATACTGGTCCTTCATGCCTCATACTCGTCCTTCATGCCTCATACTGGTCCTTCATGCCTCATACTCGTCCTTCATGCCTCATACTGGTCCTTCATGCCTCATACTGGTCCTTCATGCCCCATACTGGTCCTTCATGCCTCATACTCGTCCTTCATGCCTCATACTGGTCCTTCATGCCTCATACTCGTCCTTCATGCCTCATACTGGTCCTTCATGCCTCATACTGGTCCTTCATGCCCCATACTCGTCCAGCATGCCTCATACTGGTCCTTCATGCCTCATACTGGTCCTTCATGCCTCATACTCGTCCTTCATGCCTCATACTGGTCCTTCATGCCTCATACTCGTCCTTCATGCCTCATATTCGTCCTTCATGCCTCATATTTATCCTTCATGCCTCATACTGGTCCTTCATGCCTCATATTCGTCCTTCATGCCTCATATTAGTCCTTCATGCCTCATACTCGTCCTTCATGCCTCATATTCGTCCTTCATGCCTCATATTAGTCCTTCATGCCTCATATTTATCCTTCATGCCTCATACTGGTCCTTCATGCCTCATACTCGTCCAGCATGCCTCATACTCGTCCAGCATGCCTCATACTCGTCTTTCATGCCTCATACTGGTCCTTCATGCCTCATACTCGTCTTTCATGCCTCATACTGGTCCTTCATGCCTCATACTCGTTCTTCATGCCACATACTGGTCCTTCATGCCTCATACTGGTCCTTCATGCCTCATACTGGTCCTTCATGCCTCATACTTGTCCTTCATGCCTCATACTGGTCCTTCATGCCTCATACTCGTCCTTCATGCCTCATACTGGTCCTTCATGTCTCATACTCGTCCTTCATGCCTCATACTGGTCCTTCATGCCTCATACTGGTCCTTCATGCCTCATACTGGTCCTTCATGCCTCATACTTGTCCTTCATGCCTCATACTGGTCCTTCATGCCTCATACTCGTCCTTCATGCCTCATACTCGTCCTTCATGCCTCATACTGGTCCTTCATGCCTCATACTCGTCCTTCATGCCTCATACTGGTCCTTCATGCCTCATACTGGTCATTCATGCCTCATACTGGTCCTTCATGCCTCATACTCGTCCTTCATGCCTCATACTGGTCCTTCATGCCTCATACTGGTCCTTCATGCCTCATACTGGTCCTTCATGCCTCATACTGGTCCTTCATGCCTCATACTCGTCTTTCATGCCTCATACTCGTCCTTCATGCCTCATACTGGTCCTTCATGCCTCATACTGGTCCTTCATGCCTCATACTCGTCCTTCATGCCTCATACTGGTCATTCATGCCTCATACTGATCCTTCATGCCTCATACTGGTCCTTCATGCCTCATACTGGTCCTTTATGCCTCATACTGGTCCTTCATGCCTCATACTCGTCCTTCATGCCTCATACTCGTCCTTCATGCCTCATACTTGTCCTTCATACCTCATATTGGTTCTTCATGCCTCATACTGGTCCTTCATGCCTCATACTCGTCCTTCATGCCTCATACTCGTCCTTCATGCCTCATACTTGTCCTTCATACCTCATACTGGTCCTTCATACCTCATACTCGTCCTTCATGCCTCATACTCGTCCTTCATGCCTCATACTCGTCCTTCATGCCTCATACTCGTCATTCATGCCTCATACTCGTCCTTCATGCCTCATACTTTTCCTTCATGCCTCATACTGGTCCTTCATGCCTCATACTCGTCCTTTATGCCTCATACTGGTCCTTCATGCCTCATACTCGTCCTTCATGCCTCATACTCGTCCTTCGTGCCTCATACTCGTCCTTCATGCCTCATACTCGTCCTTCATGCCTCATACTGGTCTTTCATGCCTCATACTGGTCCTTCATGCCTCATACTGGTCCTTCATGCCTCATACTGGTCCTTCATGCCTCATATTCGTCCTTCATGCCTCATACTGGTCCTTCATGCCTCATACTGGTCCTTCATGCCTCATACTGGTCCTTCATGCCTCATACTCGTCCTCCATGCCTCATATTCGTTCTTCATGCCTCATACTCGTCCTCCATGCCTCATATTCGTTCTTCATGCCTCATACTCGTCCTCCATGCCTCATATTCGTTCTTCATGCCTCATACTCGTACCTCATGCCTCATTTTCGTCCTCCATGCCTCATACTTGTCCTTCATGCCTCATACTCCCACAGTATCTTCATGCCTCATCTTCGCCCAGCATCTTCAAACCTCAAACTCTCATTGCATCTCTGTGCCTCATACTCGTCCAGCATCTCCATTCCTCATACTCGTACAACTTCCTCATGTCTCATACTCCCGCAGCATCTTCATATTTGATATCCGTGCAGGTTATTCTTATCTCATGCTCGTACAGCATTTTTCAAGCATCAAACTCACCACAGTGTATTGAGCCTCAATCTGATGATCAATATTATTGCCTTTTGCAGGCATAGTTTCTTCAATCGTCTTATTCGCATCAAGAATTTATTCATGCCTTATGCTAGAAAAGCATTTTCATTCCTCGTATTCGTGCAGCATATCTATGGTGTATATCTTGGTCATGGTGACGTTACATATAAATAAATATAGTGGTTTAAAATACTTCTCCTGCCCTGAGCACCATTAAGGTTAGGTTAGGTTAGGTTAGGTTAGGTTAGGTTAGGTTAGGTTAGTTAATGTGTGAGTTATGAGCAAGCTTCACTAATATTATTTTTTATCGTGCCTTCCTTATTCTTTGTTTCTAGAACCTGCTCCTTGTCACGCTTGGAGCTGCGGTCCTCCTGGTGGGGTCCAGCCGGGCGGAGCTGAAGCTTGAAGCGTCTAAGAGCGGCGCTGAAGGCTCCGAGATCGGACATGGAATCAACCGCGATCATTCGTCGGAAGAACGTCTGGGTGGCGCTTTCAAAGGAAGACTGAGCGGAAATAGTGGAGCCAAGATCAATGGCTTTGATGACGGACACGGAGCAGCAATTTTGGGAGGCGGACACGCTGGAGGCTCTGATGAATTTGGACATGGTGGAGGAGCTACTAGTTTCGGACAAGGAGGAGCTGGTAATTTTGGATTCGGTCGTGGAGCGGTTAATTTCGGACACGGTGGTTCCTTTGGAACAGTTCAAGGTGGACACACCGGCGTGGAAAAGGGCGGACCTGGGACTCCTTTTGGGACATCATTTGGGGCATCTCATGGAGGATCCATCAATGTTGTGCATTCTGGACCCGTCGGTACTACACATGGTGGATCCCCAGGTCTGCTACATGCTGGGCCGACCGGTGGTGGACATGCTGGAAATATAGTGTTCGGACATGGTGGCCATATTGGTCCCATACACGGTGGATCTGCTACAGTTGGCCATATTGGATCCATCGGACATAGAGGAGCCCTTGAATCTGGACACATTACAGATGTGGGAGCATTGCAGGGTGCAACCAGCGACTTTGGACATAGTGGGCTCGTTGGCACTGGACATGGTGGGGCCCTTGGTCCCGGACATGGTGGCTCTCTCAGTCTTAGACATGGTAGGATTTTCGGTGGTGGAGATGGTGGATTTATTAGGATTGGACAGCGGGGTTTACACAATGGTGGTCAAATTAGACTCTTTGGTGGAGCCCATGGTGGACTTTCTGGCGGTGGACTTGGTGGAGCCCTTAGTGGAGGACATGGTGGAGCCCATGGTGGCCTTTCTGGCGGTGGACTTGGTGGAGCCCTTAGTGGAGGACATGGTGGAGCCCTTAGTGGAGGACATGGTGGAGCCCATGGTGGACTTTCTGGCGGTGGACTTGGTGGCCTTTCTGGTGGTGGACTTGGTGGACTTTCTGGTGGTGGACTTGGTGGACTTTCTGGTGGTGGACTTGGTGGAGCCTTTAGTGGAGTACATGGTGGAGCCCTTAGTGGAGGACATGGTGGAGCCCTTGGTGGAGGACATGGTGGAGCCCTTAGTGGAGGACATGGTGGAGCCCTAAGTGGAGGACATGGTGGAGCCCTAAGTGGTGCCCTTAGTGGAGGACATGGTGGAGCCCTAAGTGGAGCTCTTAGTGGAGGACATAGTGGAGCCCTTAGTGGAGGACATAGCGGAGCCCTAAGTGGAGGACATGGTGGAGCCCTTAGTGGAGGACATAGTGGAGCCCTAAGTGGAGGACATGGTGGAGCCCTTAGTGGAGGACATGGTGGAGCCCTTAGTGGAGGACATGGTGGAGCCCTTAGTGGAGGACATGGTGGAGCCCTTAGTGGAGCCCTAAGTGGAGAACATGGTGGAGACATTAGCGGAGGACATGGTGAAGCCCTAAGTGGAGCACTAAGTGGAGGACATGGTGGAGCCCTTAGTGGAGGACATGGTGGAGCCCTTGGTGGAGGACATGGTGGAGCAATTAGTGGAGGACATGATGGAGCCCTAAGTGGAGCCCTAAGTGGAGAACATGGTGGAGCCCTTAGTGGAGGACATGGTGGAGCCCTAAGTGGAGCACTAAGTGGAGGACATGGTGGATCCCTTAGTGGAGATCTTAGTGGAGGACATGGTGGAGCCCTTGGTGGAGGACATGGTGGAGCCCTTAGTGGAGGACATGATGGAGCCCTAAGTGGAGGACATGGTGGAGACCTTGGTGGAGGACATGGTGGAGCCCTAAGTGGAAAACATGGTGGAGCCCTTAGTGGAGGACATGGTGGAGCCCTAAGTGGAGGACATGGTGGAGCCCTTGGTGGAGGACATGGTGGAGCCCTTAGTGGAGAACATGGTGGAGCCCTTGGTGGAGGACATGGTGGAGCCCTTAGTGGAGGACATGGTGGAGCCCTACGTGGAGGACATGGTGGAGACCTTGGTGGAGGACATGGTGGAGCCCTAAGTGGAGGACATGGTGGAGCCCTAAGTGGAGCCCTTAGTGGAGGACATGGTGGAGCCCTTAGTGGAGGACATGGTGGAGCCCTAAGTGGAGGACATGGTGGAGCCCTTAGTGGAGGACATGGTGGAGCCTTAAGTGGAGGACATGGTGGAGCCCTAAGTGGAGGACATGGTGGAGCCCTAAGTGGAGGACATGGTGGAGACCTTGGTGGAGGACATGGTGGAGCCCTTAGTGGAGGACATGGTGGAGCCCTTAGTGGAGGACATGGTGGAGCCCTTAGTGGAGGACATGGTGGAGCCCTTGGTGGAGGACATGGTGGAGCCCTTAGTGGAGAACATGGTGGAGCCCTTGGTGGAGGACATGGTGGAGCCCTTAGTGGAGGACATGGTGGAGCCCTAAGTGGAGGACATGGTGGAGACCTTGGTGGAGGACATGGTGGAGCCCTAAGTGGAGGACATGGTGGAGCCCTAAGTGGAGCCCTTAGTGGAGGACATGGTGGAGCCCTAGGTGGAGGACATGGTGGAGCCCTAAGTGGAGGACATGGTGGTGCCCTTAGTGGAGGACATGGTGGAGCCCTAAGTGGAGGACATGGTGTAGCCCTAAGTGGAGGACATGGTGGAGCCCTAAGTGGAGGACATGGTGGAGCCCTTAGTGGAGGCCATGGTGGAGCCCTTAGTGGAGGACATGGTGGAGCCCTAAGTGGAGGACATGGTGGAGCCCTTAGTGGAGGACATGGTGGAGCCCTTAGTGGAGGACATGGTGGAGCCCTTAGTGGAGGACATGGTGCCATTAGCACTGGACATAGCCTCGTGTCCCTCAAGGTCGGGCATGGTGGTGTCAATGGTGGATCTCTTGGTGTTGGACATGGTGGAATTACCAGTTTTGGACATGCCGGGACTACCCTAGACAGTGGCTCGTTTAGCGCTGGACATGGAGTCCCATCTAAGGACACGCTCAGTGGTGGAGCTTTGTCGATCAGCGCCGGTCACTCTCCATCACTAGGCGGAGGGCATAGTGGAGCTGTGTCCGATAAGGGGCTTGGGAGATCTAAAGTGGGCGTCTCTAGTATTCTAGGAACCCAAAGTGGCGGTCATGGTAGTGCTGTTGATCTTGTAAAGGGACACCGAGGCGTTGCGGCAGATATTCATATACGCAAGAAACCTATTGGTCCCGTCGGAGGACATTCTGGCGCACTGGTGGACATCCAAGGCCATCGTGGTCCCGTCGGGTTTGTGTCCAGAGAAGGATCAATTGAAGACGAACATTCTGGTGGTTTGGCCATTTCCAAAGGACATGGAGGCATCCTAGGCAAGGTAGGCCAGTCAGGCGTGATATCCTTCACAAAAGAATCCCCTGGACATACAGCATTTGCATCCGGAGGACCTATTGGAAGTGGGCAAATAGGATTCCCAGGCGTCGCTAAATTGCATCGAGGACCGGTTGGACCCATCTCCGTAGGCGTCGGACCCGTTGGTGTAGCAGATGTTGGCATCTCTGGAGGAAAAACTCACTTTGGAAGCGTCGGCGGAGGTGGAATAAGCGATCCTAGAGGCACTTTGGGTATCAACACTCGCTACGGAACGCCAACTGTCAGTTTGATTTCAGGAAGAATTCACGACGCAGGTTTCGGAAGCGGGCTGGGAGCCGCTGGAGGAGGTGTTGACATTACCGGTAAACACAGCGCCTCAGCAGGGGCTTCCTCCATCGGTACCAAACAAGTAACTTCTTCTGTTAGTTTCACTACAGGAGGTCATGCCGCAGGACTAAGAGACGGAATCAGGAGTCCTGGAGGCATTGCTTCTGCTCTCTCCGGAAGGGATCATATTGGCGGAGGCTCCGTTGGAGGTGGCTCCGTTGGAGGTGACTCCGTTGGAGGTGGCTCTATTGGAGGTGGCTCTATTGGAGGTGGCTCGGGAGGTATAGTGACCATCGACTCCAAACACGGCACGCCCTCCGGCAGCTTATCTGGAGGAGGTGGACACGGGGCAGGCTTCGATGGTGAAACAGGTGCCCCTGCAACTCTGGCTGGCCCCGTGGGAAGCAGCTCCGAAGAAAAACCTGGAAGCCGCTTAAATGTATTTTCCACTTCCGGCACCTTTGTAGGTTCCTTTAAAGAAGATGGGCAGAGGCTTGGCGACCATGAAGTGTCAAGTCGAGCTGAACAAGGTGATGCTGGTGACATTAAAGATGGCGGCGGTGTTGGAATAGCAGATGAGAGCGCCACTGGGATTGGATTCGACTCTGCCGTGGCTAAACAAGGTGACAAAGGTCCAGTTTCCGTGTTTGCTGAAGAGAGACGTCCTGCCGACAAGGGTCACGGAGGCCTTGTCGCCCAGGAGCACCCTAAATTCGTTGGAGTTGGTGTAAGACACGGAGGCAGCTTCCTAGACTCAGGACACGGAGGCACCTCTCTTGGTATTGGACACGGAGGCGGTTCTATTAGTGCAGGACACGTAGGAAGCTCTCTTGGTATTGGACACGGAGGCGGTTCTATAAGTGCTGGACACGGAGGCAGCGCTCTTGGTATTGGACACGGAGGCGGTTCTATAAGTGCTGGACACGGAGGAAGCGCTCTTGGTATTGGACACGGAGGCGGTTCTATAAGTGCTGGACACGGAGGCAGCTCTCTTGGTATTGGACACGGAGGCGGTTCTATAAGTGCTGGACACGGAGGAAGCGCTCTTGGTATTGGACACGGAGGTAGCTCTTTTGGCATTGGACACGGAGGCAGCTCTTTTGGTATTGGGCACGGAGGCAGCTCTCTAGGTATTGGACACGGAGGCGGTTCTATTAGTGCAGGGCACGGAAGCACCGCTCTTGGTATTAGACACGGAGGCGGATTAAGTGTAGGACACGGAGGCAGTTCTCTTGGTATTGGACACGGAGGCAGCTCTCTGGGTATTGGACACGGAGGCGGTTCTCTAGGTGTAGGACATGGAATCAGCGCTCAAGGTATTGGACACGGAAGCGGCTTCCTAAATTCTGTACACGGAGTCGGCTCCCTAAATACCGGACACGGAGGCGAGTTTATAGGTATTGGACACGGAGGCGATTCTCTAGGAATTGGACACGGAGGCGGCACTTTTAGCGTAGGACACGGAGGCGTTTCGCTGGGACTAAAACACGGAAGCAGCGCTCTGCGTTCAGGTCCCACAGGTGGCTTCATTGGACCTCTTAATCACGGACCAGCACAAGGCGGCTCCGGAGTCGCCGTGGCTTTTGGAACCAGACTAGGAGGAAACTCTCTAGGTCAGGTGCAAGGGACTAGACATAAAGGAATCAGCGGGAGAAAACACGGTTCCCTTGGGCCAAGCGGAGCCGAAGCCAAAGTGGATCTTGGCGTCGCTAGCGGAAGACGTCACGGCGGAGGATTCGAACACAAGATTGTCACGCATACTGCACTCTCCGGGAGCAGCGAGAAAGGCTTTCTGAGACAGTTTGCTTAATTATGTATAATGAGTACCAAGTACTTGTTATATATATACATATATAATGCAGAAACGCTGTTGGTGGTGCTGAGTGATATGTTGATTGAGTGTTTGTGTTGTTAAGATTATTTTATACATAAACTTTTATATGGAAATAAAAAAAAAATTATATATGTATTTTGTGTCTGAGATAATCCCCCACCTGTAAAGTGTTGATCGTGACCAACAGAAGGTTACCATACACTACACATGCACCATACACTACACATGCACCATACACTACACATGCACCATACACTACACATGCACCATACACTACACATGCACCATACACTACACATGCACCATACACTACACATGCACCATACACTACACATGCACCATACACTACACATACACCATACACTACACATGCACCATACACTACACATGCACCATACACTACACATGCACCATACACTACACATGCACCATACACTACACATACACCATACACTACACATACACCATACACTACACATGCACCATACACTACACATGCACCATACACTACACATACACCATACACTACACATGCACCATACACTACACATACACCATACACTACACATGCACCATACACTACACATGCACCATACACTACACATGCACCATACACTACACATGCACCATACACTACACATACACCATACACTACACATGCACCATACACTACACATGCACCATACACTACACATGCACCATACACTACACATACACCATACACTACACATGCACCATACACTACACATGCACCATACACTACACATACACCATACACATGCAGGCGAGGAGTCACAATAACGTGGCTGAAGTATGTTGACCAGACCACACACTAGAAATTGAAGGGACGACGACGTTTCGGTCCGTCCTGGACCATTCTCAAGTCGATTGTGTTCATTCCCTTTTTCCATTCACAATCGACTTGAGAATGGGCCAGGACGGACCGAAACGTCGTCGTCCCTTCAATTTCTAGTGTGTGGTCTGGTCAACATACACCATACACCATGATATCACAATAACGTGTTATATCTAGGAGAGAATGTTAGGTGCAGGGCGATGGGATCGAACCTCCTCCGTCTTGAGTGACCCAAGACGATCCCAGTGTTCTGCTCCAGAGATTGTTTCACGCTAAAGATAAGAAGATACTTTGTTACCCCCATTTAGGAAATAGGTTTTTAAAGCACAATTTTATGTTTATTAGAAAAGAAACCAAGAAATAGACGTGTTTAACCAATATTAATATCCCAAATATGGGTAATTATTGTCAAAATAATTTTAAACATATATAGGTATATTTTCACCTTGAATACCTTCAGATAATGATATACTGTCATAAATATTCATAATATATACACCAGAATTGTGTATTATGTTTCCCAACAATTAACATTTTCCATTGGAAGCATTCGCCATAAAAATATATTTACACGAGATTAAATTCTTAAAATTAAAATGATGGAAGTTCACTTTATCGTAACGTAAATATAAGTTCAACTTGAGCGGTGGATCATGGCAGTCATGCTGGGTATTTTCCTCGCCTTGTCACATGACTTGTCAATAGTGCAACCTCATCAACTTTCTAACCTTATTTCTCAATTGTTTTTGTTCCTGGGCATTATTCCCTTTCTCCTTGTTTAACTTTCCGTTTCTGATCTCGTGTTATAAATCTCATGCTGAGACTTTTATGCTGCTGCTGCTCCCATGTTGCTGCTCTTATGCTGCTGCTCCCATGCTACTGATGACATACTGTTGCTCCCATAGCTGATTTCATGCAGCTGCTCATATGGCTGATTTCATGCTGATTCACGGTGAATTATGCATCCTGTCTCACTCACCCTGCCTCAACCATCCTGTCTCACTCACCCTGCCTCAACCATCCAGCCACATTCACCCTGCTGCTTTCACATTGATTCTTTTCGTGCTCTGAAACCTGGCCGCAAAGTTCAACAGAAGGCGAGGCCACAGTAGGGGCACAGAGGTGGCAGAAACAGGGAGCAGTGTCGTGTGGGTGTCTCCTTGACACATCACCGGATCTCTATAACACATTTTCCGACACTGTGTCAAACTCTGAAACTATTTCTGCTGTGCCAAAACGTGTAATACATATGAGTGTGTATGTATTATTTGTGTCTGCAGGATCGAGCTGTTAGTCGTACAAGTAATGTAATGGCTAGTAATCGAGCTGTAATTCCCGAGTATAAGTTTTGTACGACTTGTACTCAGAGCCTCGAACTGCAGACTACAAAAGCAGCAGCCCACAGTTCTTCCTGGGGTAATAAACTTATCTAAAGGATCTATATTATTCATTTAATAAGCATTTCTGTCATTCAGTTACACTTCCAACTTATAGACGTAATCATTCTTGTTGAAAATGATAACAGTATTAGATTTATCCTCTTTGGTGATATGCAAGGAACTAACTTTTCAGAGATTTTGATAAGTTTTCATTAAACTATCTGGGGAAGAATGAATATATCTGTTTAGTAAAGATCCGTATACTAAACCATTACATATATTCGTGTCATCACTAGAAATGTCACTATTTTGTCCACGATACAAGCTCCAATGGCAAAGGCCAAACGTTTCTACTGTTTGAGACACAAATTATGATTGGAAGATATTTAATATTTTGCAATGTGACAATATATTGACTATTGAAACTTAACTAATTTAACACTACATCCAGCTTGATGCTAAAACCTTAATATCAAAATAATATACCAATGATTATCACCAACATTGCTATCTATAATCATATCAATCATTATGCACACTAAGAAGAAATGTTATCAGTTTTGTTCAGTAACTGATCAAATATCAGTATTCTCAATCGACTTGAGAATGGTCCAGGACGCACCGAAACGTCGTCGTCCCTTCATCTTCTAGTGTGTGGTCTGGTCAACATAATTTAGCCACGTTATTGTGACTCCTCACCTGCATCAGTATGGAACCTTCAGATTTTATCCACTGTGATAAGCGCAGCAACATAGAGCAAAATCTTCACTAAAGATATAAATAGTTATCTTTTACAACCATGTTACTAAGACTCAATAACTAAACTTGCTTGAATAAAGCTCATTATATTCATTTTATTTCATTTATCCAGCAAACATATTAACTAGAAAAATATTTTATACGTAAAATCTAGAATTAAATCAATATTCAATTCCTCTGAGGACTAAACAATGTACGACATATGTTGTATACCAAAGTATACGATTGTTTACAAATGATGAAACTATAAGGGCATCAAGAGTTAACATTACTGAAACTTTAATTCATATTGCCGGCAACAAAAGCTTCCTATTCCACTGTTTTCGTCATCTATCAACATTGTCTGACCTCCTGGAAATAAGAAGCAATAAGATGCATATCTTAACATACTAAGAAGGTTAGGTGAGGTCGGTGTTTTCTATGAAGCTTTTCAAGGTAAACTAAAATATTCACAATCAATTAGTATGTCACATATGCACTTATTAAATAAGTCAATATTGACTATAAGCAAGTGCGAGAACGGGTTGCCTGGCCTGTCCGATGACAATTATTGCAAATTGCATCTATCATAGTGTTTAACCGATAACTTTTAATAACTGCGTGCGTGAGGGGGAACAGTGACCGAAACTACTAGTTACAGTCGGTCGGCCGAGCGGACAGCACGATGGACTTGTGATCCTGTGGTCCCGGGTTCAATCCCGGGCGCCGGCGAGAAACAATGGGCAGAGTTTCTTTCATCCTATGCCCCTGTTACCTAGCAGTAAAATAGGTACCTGGGTGTTAGTCAGCTGTCACGGGCTGCTTCCTGGGGGGTGGAGGCCTGGTCGAGGACCGGGCCGCGGAGACACTAAAGCCCCGAAATCATCTCAAGATAATCTCAATATAACCACGACTGTAGCTACCACTACTGTAGCTACCACGCCTGTAACTACCACGCCTGTAACTACCACGCCTGTAACTACCACGACTGTAACTACCACGACTGTAGCTACCACGACTGTAGCTACCACGACTGTAACTACCACGACTGTAGCTACCACGACTGTAGCTACCACGCCTGTAACTACCACGACTGTAACTACCACGACTGTAACTACCACGACTGTAACTACCACGCCTGTAGCTACCACTACTGTAGCTACCACGCCTGTAGCTACCACGACTGTAACTACCACGACTGTAACTACCACGCCTGTAACTACCACGACTGTAACTACCACGACTGTAACTACCACGACTGTAACTACCACGACTGTAGCTACCACGACTGTAACTACCACGACTGTAACTACCACGACTGTAACTACCACGACTGTAACTACCACGACTGTGGCTACCACGACTGTAGCTACCGACTGTACTACACATAAGGGGCATAACTGGCCGACCCCTCACAGTGTTCAAGAGAGAACTGGATAAGCACCTCCAAAGGATACCTGATCAACCAGGCTGTGACTCGTACGTCAGGCTGCGAGCAGCCGCGTCCAACAGCCTGGTTGATCAGTCCGGCAACCAGGAGGCCTGGTCGACGACCGGGCCGCGGGGACGCTAAGCCCCGGAAGCACCTCAAGGTAACCTCAAGGTAAGGTAACCACGACTGTAACTACCACGCCTGTAACCAACAAAAAAAAATGGGTGCCTCTAGTGTTGTTGTTGTTGTTGTTTTAGAGTTAGCTACGCGGAACAAAACGTTCCAAAGTAGCACGGGCTATGGTGAGCCCGCAGTAGACTTACCAAGCAGAGGAGCGGGGGGCCGTAGTCTCTAATGATCAGTTAGCGTCCTTATGGAACACAGGAGGAGAGGTGAGCATCTGTAGTCCTTTGCGAGTCCTTTGTCTGCGGGATAATAGGTGAAAGCGCCAAGCCATTACGACTATATAGCCCCTTGAAACGGGTCAGGATAAGGATTTGGGATGGGACGGGGGGGAAGGAATGGTGCCCCAACCACTTGTGTGGACGGTCGGGGGATTGAACGCCGACCT